GCCCGTGCTAATGATGGCTTTCCCCTGGATGTTTACAGAGACATTTGTTGGTTTGCATTGCAGTGGCATTTCCAAAAGAGAGGCATTATTTACATTTTGATGTTTAACATCTTTGGGGGTGTTTTCTTTTCCTTTTCTTTTTGATCTTTTAAAGGATGGCAAAATAGGTAGGAAAAAAAGCTTGGAGAATGTGTGTCATTAAAAGACGGTTTTACATTTCCTTCTAAATTCTGAAAAAGATCGATGTATGTTTCAACCTATGAGATTGAATATTTCATTAGGAAGCATTAGGAGGTGCGTTTTAAAGTCAGACTTTCAAGAGCTCCCATCATTCCTGTACTCCATATCTCTAAAAGCCCAGGTGAGAAGGGTGTGTAGATTCCTGTCCTGACATCCCTCATTCCACACCCTGTCATAATTAAATATTTAAGTCCCTTTGATGATGGAAATGGAACTTGATGCTCAGATGGAAATCCTGCAGGGAGCATGAGTTATCCCTCTTTTTCTTTTCTCATGCTGGCCCTGATATTAAAGAGCTTGCAATGCACTACATGACAGTGCATGGCTGTATCTCTTCATGTGCATGGGTTATTTTTTTTCTCTCATTTCGTTTTTTAATTCAAATTAGAAACAAGCTGGTTTTACATGTCAATACCAGTTCCCTCTCCTTCTCCTCCTCCCCTGTTCCCCATCCATCCCCTATCCCATCCCCTTTCTGCTCCCCAGGGAGAGTGAGGTTTTCCAGGGTGAATCTTCAAAGTCTGTCATATCATTTGGGTCAGGGCTTAGGTGCTCCCCCATGTTTCTAGGCTGAGAGAGTATCCCTCTATGTGGAGTGGGCTCCCAAAGTCCATTCTTTTGCTAGGGATAAATACTGATCTACTATCAGAGGCCCCATAGATTGCCAAAGCCTCCTCACTGACACCTCTGAATCAGTCGTATGCTGGTCTGGGGTCTATGAGCTCCCCCTTTTTCGGGCCAGCTGTTTCTATGGGTTTATCCAGCCTGGTCTTGACCCATTTGCTCATCACTCCTCCCTCTCTGCAACTGGATTCCAGAATTCAGCTCAGTGTTTAGCTGTGGATGTCTGCTTCTGCTTCCATCAGCTACTGGATGAAGGCTCTAGGATGGCATATAAGGTAGTCAACAATCTCGTTATTAGAGAAGGGCATTTAAGGTAGCCTTTTCACTATTGCTTAGATTGTTAGTTGGGGTCAACCTTGTAGATCTCTGGACATTTCTCTAGTGCCTAATTTCTCTTTAAACCTATAATGGTTCCCTCTATTCATAATAGAGGTGCATGGGGTATTTAAACTTCAGCCTCATTGTATTGCCACATGAATTACTAGGATGTACTGGGATTGTCTTTGTGTTAGCTTTAATCAAATTTGTTGTTCAGTTACTCCCCAAGTTGGCAGGCATTTGGTTTGTTTGGGGGTAAATGTAGATGGGTAGGTGGATTAGGTACAAGTGGGGAGGTTGGATCATGCCTGACACTTTTTCACATCTGTATCAACATGTCAGCCACTGATGTGTATGTGTATAAGGAGCTCACAGAAGTGAGTATGCAGATTAGAATGCTGTTTTGTTTTTTTCATAGCAGTTTTTTACCATTTTTCAGTAAATTAAACTGAATCCAGAGAGTAGAGCTGCAAGTAGAACTGGGGTTTCTTGGTTCTAGTCCAAAACTACCTATAATGCATTTTTCTGGAGATAATGATACATTTTCAAAAGTTAGAATCTAGTAGGGTTTTCATGCTGAGTAACGTTTAGGCTACTGTTGCTAAAGCTGTTTCCATGTGATGAAAAATAAGCTGAAAGCAGCTAAACATGATCGTCTGAGCATGGAAGCTGAGGTTCTGGCCAAAGTATTTCTATTGTGGAATGGCATTAGAGTACAGTGTTAAAATTAAGGAAATTTTGGGTTTAGTTCTCAATCTGAAAACCAAAACATAACACCTGTTTCTAAATCTTTAAGAAGTTGTTTTATAAAAACCTTTAGGTTCATGGACTGTGGCTTTGCCAACTAAGAAGCATGTTGATGGCTATGCTTTGGGTGGGAAAGTATTATAGAACAAACAAGAACCCAAAACGTACCATTATAGTCTGGTTCAATAAAGGACTGAATGAAGCTGTGGTATCATGGATTCAGTCCTTAGGTGAATAATCTGATTCGACTCTGTGTGTCACAAATCTCAATGGGGATATACACTTCTGAGAACTTCAAACAGTTGCCTATGTAAAGTTATTCTGAGAGAAAATTCAAGCTAGAATTCTATAGTCAGTAGTTTTAGCAAGAGCCTTCCTTTTATTCTACTCAGTTTCTAAATAAAAGTCTATAAGGCAGTGGTTCTTAATCTGTGGGTTGGGTCATTACCCCTTTGGAGGTCTAACAATTCTTTCACAGGGGGTCACCTAACTGTCAGAAACACAGATATTTACATTAAGATTCATAACAGTAGCAAAGTTACATTTATGAAGTAGCAACAATAATAATTTTATGGGTGGGGGTTGGGACAGCATGAGTAACAGTGTTAAGGTATTATAACATTAGGAATGTTGAGAGCCACTGATATAGGGGATAAAGTAGGAAACACAAAGGCAGGTAAAGTCATTGAGCAAGCAGCCAGATGATTTAAAAGGGAACAGAAGATCAGTGAATTGGAAATTTACACACACACACACACACATACACACACACACACACACACACACACTTGCGCATTGTCTATTAATCTGCCTTAATGTTTCGAGAAGGTTCTCTTGTATGGCAATAGTGATTCATCTATCTGTTCTTGCCATTAGGTTTTAAAATTTCACAGCAGTACTAAGTTGCTATAGGTGCAAACACTCCTGAAATAAAGATGCCAAGATATAACATGGGCTTTGGTTACAGTCATTCTAGCCACTTAAGTAATGAGGATTGCATTAAATGTGGTGACATTAGAGATTCTATTCATGCCTGCTGCTGGATAGCTGTTAATACTGAGTTGAAGTGGAGAAGCTGAGACCTTTATAAGACACTGGCTGGACACCTTACCTTCATCATCTCTCTAAATCTAGTCTGGAAAAGGAGGTCTAAGTCACAAATGAGAAAAGGAAAACTTCCCATGACTTGCCACCTCCGTCCTTAGGTACATAGCTATACACATCATGACATAAATCCCTTTATTTGTCAGCACTAGAAGAGAGAATCATTTACCAGATGATTATAAATGTAATGTGTGTTAATTGAGAGAGAAATCCAAGGTGTCGTATAGTATATAAACTCTACATTTCTTAAAATTAGACTAGCTTACTGTGCTCAAACAAAAATGTTCAAATACTTTTCTTTGAGAATTAAAAGGTATCTTTGAGATGGGTTATCAGTTGCAGGGGGAAGTTTGCACTTCCCTAGGAAACAGTAATTCATACTACCAGTAAAGGTCATGATTAAACCTTTTAACTACAGGTATTGAAGAGTTGTTCATAGATATGCCATTTTGTGACTTATAACACCTTGTTTTGACATATTTAAGCAGAAAACGATAAAATGAATGATCTAAAACAATCTCAGCATTGGCACTTTTATGGCATTTTATACTGTCACAGATCACATCTCATCACACACAAACATCTGATGAATGTTTTCTATTTTTATCTCAAAACTGGAGTTGATATTTTAATTCCTATAGATTTAAAAATTATAAGAGCAGTTATTTCATATCTTAGTAAAAATATGGCATACCATTTAATAATAAATCACACTTTTTTCTATTTTATTATAATGTGAGGTTAGTTGTACAAATATCACCAAGATTTTCTTTTGGTACATTTTAATTTCTACATTTTATTTTATTAGAAGAAAAATGACCATGATCTAGTAACACAATTGTGCATCATTTTCACTTAATTTACTCATTCTTTAATTAGCATTTTGATGAACTACATTAATTTTCTTATTTCATTTTCTGATATCTCTTAAAGCAATACAGGGATATTCAGAATGTACTGGTTAAATTATATACAACATCAATACCCAGAATAAAGTTAAGCAGATTTCAGAATCGAACACTAGCAAAGAGCATTAGTGTCTAATCAGAGACATTGAGCCCACAGGGCTTAGAGGGAAATTATAACACACCAGATCTCTGGAATTGCACACCCCTTGCTTTCACAAGGCTGAAGAGAAACTTAGTACCATTGTGTTGGCATTTCTATACTTCGGTGGAACCACTTATTCTTCAGATTTTCCTACCTAGGGGTTGGAGGGAAACCACTTATTCTTCAGATTTTCCTACCTAGGGTCTTCAAGATTGGTGGCTTGTTAATTTTATCTTTAGCTTGCTTTATTATTGCCAATCACAGTATTTTATACTGATGAAAATTATGATGATGAAAATCTTACTATTAAAATCAACATCACCACTAGATATGGATGAGGCTTTCAATGACTATTAAACATAAAGAGTGTGGATGCCTTAGGTTGCCACTTTGCTCTTGAATGTATCATTTCTGCTTTGGATCCCTAACTTTTGTCCAATGCTGTATGACACAAATTCATTGGTTCTGCTTCATGCATCCTTACTTAGGTTTTCTGGGACACAATCTTTTTGCTTTCTCTCTTGAGAAGAAAATAAATACTAGTAACTGTCAAATTGTGGAGCCAGCAGTACTTCTGTACTAGACATGAGCTCTGTCTCATGTGGTTGGGACAGGGGTCAACAGTTGTAGAGATTCGCACTTATAACCCAGGATTTATATATAACATAGTGTAAGGCTTCGATCTCTTGAACTGTGCATTCTTTCCTCTGGGGTGCTCCTGAGAGCCTTTTGGTAGGTTCCTCTTCATATTGCAGTCTATGGTCCTACCTCATGAATTCATGAAAATGACAGAGTGCTAGCAATGTGATTTGTCTGTTTAAATAACAATCCCTAGTTTTCAGAATTAAATGTGTTCTGGATGTGTGATAAGAGAGAGGATAGTTATCATACTATTTTTATTGATTTTTCACTTGCAGAACCTCAGATGGTGGCAAAGTGGTTGGGACCATAGAAGTCAGCCTCGTGAAGATGGGGGAGATTGAGGATGGGGACACGGACCACATCACGACAGTTGTGCAGGGACAAAAGGTAGGATCACAGTCAGCTTGTTGCACAGATTAAATTTGAAATGATAAGCTTGGCCAGAAACCTGTGTTGCCAACACCCTGTGGGGTTTGAAATCTCATTATTCAAAAGCTAAATGAGAGATCATCACTGAAATCGAAGCACAGTATGAATGTTTCCTCTCTGAAGCAGAGAGCCTGTTTCCTCTCTGAAAGAGAGTGCCTGTTTGCCCAGAGCTTACAGCTTTGTGCCGTTCAGAGCACCTTTCTCTTCTGTCCCAGCCCCCATGTAGATATCATCTCTTCTCAGTGGAAACAAAAGTGGAGATCATTGTTGCATTTTGCCATGATTACACAGCAGGATTCTGGGAAGGTGACTGCCAAGCACAGTCTGCTCTTTATTCCCAAAGACGTCTTTGGAAAGAGATGCATTTCTAATTTGAATTTTATATGAAGGATGGAATATTGAACAAGAACTTTGTATTTTATAAAATTGCACAGAGAGAAGATGGGAGAGGAAGGGAGAGAGAGAGGGAGAGAGAGCCGAATAAATTATAGACATATGTCTGGATGACATTCAATGTTAGCAATATAATAACTAAAATAAAACAGTGCTTTTGAAGCCTAAGTCCAAGTAATGTCTGCAAGGCCTTTTTCTTTCTTCTCCCTTTTCTGTAACAACAGCAATAACAAAAGACAATATAAATATAAGCCTAAATCTTTTTATTATAAATGTAATTTTTATCATACTAAAGCAATTGGGACACACAGTTGAGGCTGAAAGCACAAGCATGTGTGAGACTAACATGTCTACTCTTTGATTCATGGCAGACAACCACAGTAGGTCAGATGTCTCCAATGGAACCTAATATAACACAAGTGGTGGAGAGAAAGAGATGCTCAGGGGTTTCAGACATTTCCTATATAGGAGCATACAGATTCTCAGAGAAACATAAACAAGATGCAGTCACCGATACCATTTAAGCAGCTCAAGGCACTAAGGATGGCTTATGCTCATTATAGATCAACAACGTTTTGTACCAAGACTCTGATAGGGAATATTGCTCTAGAAGCCTTACCCCTAGGAATTTGGAAGCAGATAGCCTAGTCAGGGGTAGATTGTTTGTTATAGAGAGCAGGCAGGGTCCTAGGGAGTTATTTCAGAATTTATCTATATTCCAATTTGGACATTATCCAAAAACTTTAGGGATACAGGTGTTGAACCTTGGATTGTTGAAACAGCTAATTTAAGAGAATGCTAGTCCAGCATGCCAGGCGGTTCCAAGGCCTCACAGGAAAAAGGCTGACACAGACAAGTTCATTAAGATTTGTTTAGATATTGGACCAGCTTACAGTCAGGGATTAACGATGTAGGCTGCCTTGCAGGAACTTCAGTTCAAAATATGTTATTTCTACAGAGAAAGCAAGGAATGTAGAGGATGAGAGGCACAAAGCCTTCTAGAGGTTGATTTGCATATTATCAGGAAGAGCACTGGGTCAGACAGAGTCACAACAGAAGAGGAAATAGAGAATCAGGCTCAGGCCTGAGATTCAGGACAGAAAGTCAGCCAGAGATCAATTATAGTGGGTCTGCCCATGCTCAGAGGACAGAACTCAAGTTATAGACCAAGGTCAAAACTTAAGAAAGTTGCAGCCTGAAGAGGTGCTACCGAGGCTGATGCCCAGCCAAATGTATAGAAAATACTAATAATATGGCTAATCAAAAACTGTTTTAAGATCTTGTGGAAAAAGAAAGGCAACATAGATAAATTTGGAGTTGTTCAAATTTTGGATGCACATAATTCAAGGATTGGCTATAGCTGCTATGTTACAAGAGATTTCAATTAAGAATTTTTCATTTCAACAAACTAATCATAACCTAGGCAAAAGGAAAGATGAGAAACGTGTGCATGTTCTTCGTGTATGGTATGTTCACACAGGTATATATGAAATGTGATTGTGAATGTGTGAATGGTGATAAAAGGAAGTGCTCAAATTGCTTTTGATAGGATTAAAAGGATACATTAATTGCTTCAGGTATAGTTTAAAAGCTACCTAAATTGCTTTTAATAACAAACAAAATGTCCTCATGTGTCTCTAGTTGTTCAAAGGAGGAGAGCAGCTGTACATTCTTATTATCAGAGGACACATAAGAGGCAGACCAGGGCACAACGTGTAATCCCAGCTATCTGGATAACTGTAAATCCAAGGACAGTGGTGGCTACAGCGTAACTCTGAGGTGCAACCATGGATGAATGATCAGAACTTTTCTGAAATGTTAGACTGTATGATCTTAATCAACTTCCAGGGGTTTAATAGGAAGTTATTTTAGTAAAACAATAGTTTTTTCTTACTATAACTTTGTCTTAAATGAACATTTGAAAGGATAAATCCTGTTGTGACTTATTGTCTCGTTTGTTGCTCCTTTACGTGGAATATGTATTAGTCAGGGTCTGTAAAGGAACAGAACTGAAACTGATAGAATGAATGTGTACACGTGTGTGCCTGTGTACCTCCATATGCATGCATGTGTGTTTTATGAAGGATATGGTCCAGGTAAGCCAACAATGATTGCCTCATGCTAGAGAGGTGGAGAATTCGGTAGTTATTCAGTCCATGAGGCTGGATATTTCTGCAGTCCTGATCTGGTGTCAGAGGCCTGGAGAATTCTTGGAGAGCTCTTGGTCTTCATTCATGCTGGTACACCACCAAAGAAGTTGGTTCTAACATCAGGAAAGGAATGGCACAGCCACAGGACAGATAAACTTGCCAGCAAGAGTAAAGGCCAACAGGCTAAAAGCAGTGTTTTTCTTCTGTGCCCCTTTCTCTGGGCTGCCACCAGATAGTACAGCCCATATTCATGATAGGTCTTGCTGCTTCAAATACTCTGCCTGAGAAACACCTTCACTGGAAAGGCCAGCAGCTTGTGTTTCAGCTCATTCCATTTATAGTCAAGCAAACAGCAAAGATAGCTAGCATAGTATATGCTTGACACTTGAGCCTTAGGAAATACCTATTTGGGAGATTATGCTTATTTAACATTTACAAATATAGTTATTTATTTTTAAAAGTATCTAGGATTGCCTTTCAAAAATGTTTCTATTTTCCCTGAGCAGGCTGATGTTTCCTCCTTCCCCAAATCACATTTTCCTCTCAAGTCCTCCAGGAACATTGGCATACACTGTGACATATGCCAAGGTTGCCTATGAAAGTTGGGCCATGACGAGTTTCTGCAGCAGATCCTTGGGTCTGTGCATTTGAGATGTCTGTCCTGGGGCTTAGTCCTCCTGCTCCAGCCACATTCCCCAGAGCTTTCCACACAAAGCTTATCTTTGCCACCACTACACATGTTCTCATATTAAGTTGGACAAAAGGCAATTTGAATTCTGAACTGGGCACCAAGTTCGAAAGTAAGCAGGCAGGCTCGCCTGAACCTGTGACCACATACCAGGACTCCCGTTGTCATTTCAAAGATGAACTGCAGTCCCTGGATGTCCCTGTACTGACTGTTCTCTCAGGTCACCTGGCCCTTGATATCAGGCCATTACTTGAATGAAGTAGTGGAAAATGAGGGATGCTAAGTTTGCCCCAGGACACATTTGCTTTCTCCCAGCATTTCCCCCACCCCTGAGCTCCACTTCAGTGCTGTGACAAGGTCATGCAAACTGAGGGATGTTAAGTCTCTCTTGAGCCCCTCAGTCTTCTCCCCACAGTTTACCTGCCTGTACTCTAGTTCACTAATATGGTCAAGCTGTGTAAAAACCCAAGTGGTGCTCTTTGCAGAAATGTAGAACTTGTTACCAGGGATGTGCCCCACCAAAATACCACAAAATTTTTATGGGCCAGTAGTACAGATTAATTCCAGATGGAACATTTTCATAGACATTGATGTTCTCAGATCATACTGTGTGTGTCATAAGTTAACATAACTGATAAATGTGCTAAATATTTTTGGCATAATCTTGATCCTATCTGGACTTTCAACAAATCTTGTCTTTTTGCAATTTCCTTCCTTCCTTCCTTCCTTCCTTCCTTCCTTCCTTCCTTCCTTCCTTCCTTCCTTCCTTTCTTTCTTTCTTTTTGCAATTTTCTCTTCTAAAATGACTTACACTCTTCTGCCAATCCCTAAGAAAATTTATGGTTAAGTGATGAATATATATTCCATACTCATATACAGAATATTCATTTGAATTACATGAATATACATTTTATTTCAGTGCTTTATGACATGTTTTAAGAACAGTAGAAGGATAAATTTCTCTGTTGATCTTCCCACTCAAAACTTTCTTGAACCGTGGGACACAGTCTGTCACTGGAGCTGATCTATATGTATGTGGCTGATGACCATAAAAGAAATTAGTCTAGGAGCTACTACTGGAATAGGAAGCATCTTTATAGTCTACATGGTTTTGAACTGTTGGGGAGATGGCTTATTTGATAGTAGCACTTGTCAGACAAACATTTGAGACCCAGTACCCACTGAACAGTTAAGCATGGTTGTGAGTGTCTGGAAGGCCAGCACTGTGCACCTGAAATAGAGACATACTGATCCTGAGAGCTGCTGGCTAGCCAGCCTGGCCAAAAATGGTGAGCTTCCTGTTTCATGAGAGACAGCCTCTCAAGACACTGAAATGGAGAGTGATAGTAGGAACACTCAAAGTTCTGCCCTGTCTTCCACAGTATGCACATGGATGTTGGTACACACACACACTCTCTCTGTGTGTCTCTGTCTCTTGCTCTCTCTGACAGAGGGAGTGAGATAGAGAAAGAGAGAGAAATTAGTAAATAAAATTGCATAGATTTGAAGTGGAAGAATAGAACTTCTATTAGCACTACAGTTGGGAACTTCAAGAGGTGGCACATGTATCTTGTAGACTGAAACCTACAAAAGGCTGTCACTTGCACTAGTTAGTTTGGGATCCCATAACAAAATACATGCCTAAGTGACTCTTCAAAAACAGATTCTTATTTTGTTAGAATCTAGAGTGTAAAAACCTAAATCAGTATCTAGCCAATTTGGTAACTTGATTCCTGGTGAGCAATATTAGTTGATTTAATCAGTTGTGTGGGGGTATTGTCTGATTTTGTATCATGGATCTAAATATCCTTAGAACTGTGAATAGTCATTTCAAAATCAGAATGCTATTAAGTTGATATGACACCATCTGCTCTGCAATTAAGACGGGGGATGTGGAGTGGGAAGGTCCCATTTCTTCGTTCATAGTCACAGATGAGGGTCCTGTACTAGGAATCATAAAGTGCTCTCTGATGACAAAGAGCCAGCACTGACTCCATGGAGGAAAACAGTGCCTTGGAAGAAGAGCCCTGATCTCTGTGAATTCAGTATTTTGTTAAAATGTTCCTTATAGATTGCTCTGCTATGTTCTGTTAACAGTGCTCTTCTTCAAGAGAGCTGGGTCTAATTATTTCATGGACAGCTGTTTTTACACAAACTGGGAAAGAGTTTTTATCCCAGTCTGAGGCAGCTAGATCTGACTTCAGTGAATAGACACTCCACATTGATGTGATGATTGCTGAGTTCCCATGAGGTCGTTTAACAGCTTTGTGAAAACTGAGATGAGATGGGGACATATAGGAAACAGGAGAAATAAGCCTTACATAGACCAAGTCTCACTGCAGGTGTCTCCAGCCTAGCTATGAGAAAAAGGAAAATGACCACAGGTGACTTGTAGTTAGTCAGAGAATCATTTAAAAGAATAAAGTTCATAGTAACTCCTGTATAGATGGAATTCAATACAGAAACTGTATTAACAAACTTACCGTGTATTGTATATGAATGCAAGGCATAAGTAGTAGACAGAATTTAGAGTCACTAACAAAGACTTGGAATTTTTATCTTTCACTTCAAAAATGTTTCAGAAATATGTATATTCCTTTATTATGAGGGCTGCATCCCTGGGAAAGGAAGAAGGGGCATGAATGAGGGTAAGGAGATGTATATTAGAACAGACAGGAAATAGCCCAAAGAATTCTGGGTCAGCCTTCTGGGGATGGGAATCTGAGGCTGTGGATTGTTCCATGTTTATGTTAACTGTTAATATCTGGCATGCTTGCTGTGAAAATTCTCCCTGCTTCCTCTGCTCTTTACCTAGGGAAGAAGGAACATACATTTCTCACCAGCCACTCAAGGGTTGGGAGAATTTTGTTTCTTCTATCAGTTACAGCTTCATAGAAAGACGAGTGAGGAACTGTTTGGGGCATTGTCTCTTGCTATAGTTTGATCACTGGGGACATGCAACTGCCCTCCTATGTGCCTTCTTCTCCTTCTATCCAGAGAATTCTTAGCTTCAGATGTTATGAACTCTCAATCATTGGTTTCACAAAGCAAGTTACTTAGAATGCAGCTCTTATTTTAAGAGCAAGAGTTTGCACTGTATTGCTAGAGACAAAGAATATCTGTTTGTCCTATCAATAAGATTATTCGATATGCTTTTGCTTTATTTTAATGTTTCCTTTACTTACAATATATGTAATGATAAGCTAAAATTCACCAGTGTGAAAGGAATATAAATATTTGATCATTGGCTCTCTTTCCTAAGAATGTAAATTTTGTTTTTCTGCTCAAGGGACAGTCTTTCTTCTTTTTAGTTATTCCTTAAGTGGCCTTTATCCAGAAATAGATTAATGTAAACACGAGTAAAGGGTCACAGCAAACAACACAGCCAAGACGAAGCAATAGACAAATGATTGTCTAAAACTCTTGAGACTACATCCAGAGCTTCATGTTGTTGCAAACAAAAGCAAATCATTTAGTCTCCCATTTCATCATTTTAATGTGTGATTAAATTTTTCTATTAATTCCTAGTGTGCACTAGCATATGAATGTGCAGCACCAGACAGTGTGAGCGGGAAGGACAGCTTGCCTTTATTAAATGCAGGTATGTAATTCAACTTTGGATACTTGTGTTATATGCTATCTGAACATAAATTTTAATTTCCTGTGAAATCTATGGCCTTGAACTTGGGCAACATCCTCTCAGAGGCACTCCCGAGTACTGTTTACTCCAGGATTGATGGGGTAAAACATAATGGATTACTAATTTTCTCTTTTCCTGGAGGTGACAGGTTTGGGGTTATCTTCCACTCAGTTCTGAATATAGTTCTAAATGTCTTCATCTAGGCAACCTCATGGAATGTGTAAATGCAGGGTGTCAGTGCTTCTTTTTAGTCAGCTTCCATTAGGGAAAATGAGGCCAATTGAGTCAGTGTCCTAAAGATTAGTGTTTTCAAATCTAAAAATGCAAACAAAGTATTAGACCTTTGATAAGAATTGCATTGTGCAAATAAAATATTACTCATAACTTTGTCCTATGTGCCTCTGTTTGTCCTCTTTATTTATCTATCTAAACTCAGCAGCTTTGGCATGAACCTGGTTAAATTCCCCTGTGGAGCTATTGGCATTCTTCTCTAGGCTTTTCCTTAATGTATTCTATGAAACTTGGCAGTGTGGAGTGAGTTATGGAGTCCTTACTGAGTGATAGAGAATGTCATATCTACAATCTTCCATTTATATCTCTAGAGATGTTATTCACAATTCAGAAAATTCTGTTGTCTATTGCAAAAAGCAAAAGCTGTTTGCCTACAGGTCTTATCCTCTTCCAAGCTTATTTATGTTGCAAAGTTGAATGTGTATGTTGGGAATCTGAGGCAGCAGAGAAAACTCAAGGAGGAGCTTATCAGTCACTAAAAAAGATCTTCAAGTATCATAGCTGTATGAGAAAACAAGACTCCAGAAGTGACAGCAATATGCTATATATGAAGCTCTGATATAATTTCACATTATAACTACATAATCCATCCAATAAAGTTGGAAACATGTAGTTGGTTCCTGTGTGTTGCTACACTAAAATATAATCAGAAGCAACTTAAGGAAACATTTTTGGGGGCTTACAATTCCAAAGAGGGAAGAGTCTGCCATGGTGAGGTGGCATGGAGCATGGTGGCCAGAGCAGGAAGCTGAGAGATCACATCTTCAACCCAAACAGGAAACATAGTGAACTGGAAGTAGGGTGCAGCTATATGCTCTCAAAACCTACCCTCAGCCATGTGCTTCCTCCTGCAATGCTCTACCTTGCAAAGTTTCATAACCCCCCAAACAACTCCACCCTGTAAGGACTAAAGGTTCCCACACTTTAGTCTATGGACAACGGTTCTCATTTAACCTCGCTAGTGTGTCTTATTGTTTTTATTTAATCAGGGTGGTAGTAATAAAGATAAATTTCTTCCCTGTTGGGTAATGGGGAGTTGGGGCAATTAACTTGGAACTCATAGAAGTGTAGCTGGTAGGGTGTCTTGCAGTCACTAGTTTGGGCTTTCCAAACTAGTTATGTCTGGTTACATAACATATGCACTTCCTCTACCTCTGTGCCTTTGAATAGCAGACAGGCTGCTGTCATGTTGGAAGATGCTTGCCCTGTTAAACAAGAGCACTGTCAGGTTCCCAGAGCTGGTGTCCAAGCCTAGAGTTGCCAACAGCAAGGTGCCTCTAACTGGCATTTTGGCCTTTGCATGACCAAAGTCTCCTGAGCAGTCTTGGGTCCCCCCCCCCCCCCCCCCGGCTGGCTATGCTCCCCTCTGCATGCATGTTTCTTGGCCAGAGATGGGCTGTAAGTGGCTTCATCGATTGTTCTCCGCCTTATTTCTTTGAAACAAGGTTTGACACCTAACCCTGAGCTGCCCTTAGGCACCTGGAGTCACACTGCCTAGTCACCTGTGAACTTTTCCACAATGCTTGGGCCACAGGCACAGGTACATCCAGCCACTCTCGGTGCTTACTTGGGAGCTGAGGATGCAAACCAAGCCCACAGGCCTGCACAGTAGCATCTTACCCACTGAGCCATTTCCCCAGACCTGGCTTCTTTTTGACTCTCAAATGTGGAAGTGAATGCATCAAGCACAATTTTGTTTTTGAAAATTTCCCAATTTTTTCAAAGCATTCCATGAGCATGTTCATCTGATGTACTTCCTTGTGGAACCAAATACAAAATCTTAGTCCATAGCAATTATTTTTCAGGAATTCTCATATGCAAAAAACTTGTAGGGAATTTGTTGAGAAGATGATTCTCTCTAAATTAATTTTCAAATATGTACACATATTTTCTATTTTTAGAATAATTTTCTCTCTGAAACTTTTTATTAGGATGTACAATCAGACTGGCTAATGACCCTGTTTTGAGTTTATGGCTGTCAGCAAGTGTTAGTTTTGATGGAGCATCTTCCTCGGATAGGTCCCTATTTATTGAGTCATGAAATTAGCCTTTGTTCTTTAAAGACTACTGTCATGTTGTACATTATTATGTCACTGCCTTTCCTATTCTGGGAGGACATATGTATCAAACAGTGGTGATTTCTAGGAGTGTAAGTTGAATCTGAACAGATATAGAGAAGGTGCCACTGTCACTCACCAATACATACAGGCTATCTTTCTATTTAGGAAATTTATTAGTTATTTTTGATTCAGAGATGAACTACAGTCTTTCTTAAAAATAGGCCACTTCTTCACAAAATGGTAAGTAACTTTCTACTCTTACTTTGCAGGTGATGTAGATTGCCAGCTACTACAGATACACTGCTTATATCTTTTCATTTTAATCACGTCACATACATTAACACAGAAACCTTAAATATGGCAAATTGAATTTCACATTGTTTAATAATAACACCCTTTTTGCTGCCATAATAAAAATCTTCTATCCTCTAGAACCTGAGTGACTTATTGGTAAAATAGAATTTAGTTATTAAATTGTAGCTCTCAGTCCTTGTGAATGCACAGGTTTAAGATTTCAAGTAAGCCAGACAAAACAGCTGGTTCTTCCAGGTGGTCTTTTATTTAATGGTTATCCCAAACTAGGTAGGGTAGGAATGAAAAGAGAGGGGTAGGGATAGAGATAAAGAGATAAACTTATTTCAGCTTCCTGGAGAATGAACTTGGAGCTCCAGAATATACATAAAGACATACGTACGTACGTACGTACGTACGTATGCATGTGTGTGTGTGTGTGTGTGTGTGTGTGTGTGTGCACGCTCTCGCATGTGTGTGATAGCACCTTGCTCTGTAGCCTAGGCTATCCCAGGACTCACAATGCTTCTGCCTTTGCCCCTCCCCATTTGCTACAATTATAGGCAGGTTCCACACTAGCATTTTTCTTTTATATATTGCCTTAGGATTTAGTTGCATTCACAGAAACACACAACTAAGCTAAAACATTGGAGTAATATACACAGTCTCTGTGATTCATAATACCTTATGGCTGAAAAATATTCACCCTGTTCATTCTAGGTTCTCATGGATTCCAGCCAGATATCAGCTCTCCAGAATTTTTCCTTTTCATTTGTTTTCACGCAGAACTCAGGCACTTTTACCTTGTCATTTCTAAGATGACACCATTTTATGTCAGAGATCGTGTTTTTCTATATGATTTTAAATGATCTGTATCTATAAAACTTAGGGCTATTTTGACTTAAAACTCTGGTCCTTATTCCTTTGATTTCCTTATCTTTTCATTAGTTTACAAAATAATGGTTTTCTCTATGACAGCCTCTCACACTCACTTTTTGTGCCTTGTTCATATTCAGCCTGCATTACCCCTTCCTGTACAGGATTTCCCACTGCCCCCACTTCTCTCAAAGACTCCCCTTCCTACTTGCAGATGTCTTTTTCTTTTGTTGTTTCTAATAATCTAATGTAATCAATTCACCATGCATGTGGAGACTTTCCTGATCTTTTTACTTAGTCTGTGCTAATATATTTAGGTTGTTAATCAGCTTCGTTTTAAAGGGCAAATTTCATCTAATCAGTGGTGCCATCTTTTAGATGCCTTTTATATTTCACCTCTGTGTTCTGCTTATGTCCTCTCTTGTCTACCTCAGATAGACAAAGATAAGCAATGCAGGATGATGATGTCATCTGAGCAAGGAATTTGGTGGAAAGATATGCAGAGCACTCTTAGCCATCGTTACTCTTCCCGCCACACTGAAGCAAGGACTTTGGTTTTGTCCTTTTCTCTTGCCTCCCCATCTCAGGCCACACAATGCCTGGTGCTCTCTCCCTTCTTCTAATAGGGAAAGTCAGGATGAGGATGTGTGAGTGGTATTTCTGTACAATGAATCCCAAGTACTGCAGCAGATACAGGGAGGGACCCAACAACCTGCTTATTCCTCACTACCCTTCAAAGGTGGTCCCAGTTCCCATGCTGACACATAGCAGACTGTAAGTATCCATTACTGTGACATAATCCTTGAGGTAAGAATTAGAAGGAGAAAAGTTATTTTTACTCACAGGTTTGGAGTTTGGAGTTCCCAACCAAGTGATACCCTTTGTGCTCAGTCTCTGATTTGACTGACACATCATGGTGGGAGCCCATCCTGGAGCAAATGGCTGACAAATATGAATCAAGAAGGAATAGAAGAAGGAAAGAGACCAGTAACTGGTATTCTCCATTTCCTTTGGAGGGGGTATCTCCAGTCTTCAGTGACCTAATAATCATCCATGTGGCCTCATGTCTTAAATTTTCTATTATCTGTTATTAGCACCACCTGAGGGCCATGGAAGGACCTTTAGTAGACATTTATAACATCTAAACTGACAGCACAGTTGTACACTAAGAACCATGGGATGAGTGCAGTACAAACAAGAGGCATCTGTTGGATGGAAACAGTAGAGGCCGAGGAAGGCTTCTAAGTGTTAGCTCAATTGGTTTTATAGGAAGTCTAACTGAGGCTGGTAAAAATGGGCTGATACTTTGAAGCCTATCAAATTCTTTGGGCAGAGGTATACTAATAAGTAACTAGTTTTCTCTTCATGAAATGTGAGTTACCATTGAGTTTTTCCAGTTGCATCCTGCCCTGACCATCACAGAATGGACAGAGCTGAGTCATA